CTGCATCAACACGACCGTGAATAAAATTCGGTTGATGACCACATTCCATAGCCGCTGTGAAAAGGATGAATATCAAGCCTCAGATAATTAGAAAACAGTCACTTGCCCCTCCGGTTTCCACCTTTGTGATGTATACAAACATGAGCTGAGCCTGGTTAGAGTTGCCCAACATCGAATATGTGAAGTGCCTTTACCTGGTACTTTTCAACAATAGAACTCATCCAAAGCACAATCGCAGCCGCCAGGGCAACGATAGGGGCCAGAGGGGCAAACACCAAACCGACGGCACCCATGAAAAGCTGTTATTTATATATGAAATTAACACTCAAGACACAATTTTGAATCGGAACAGACGCACAATGTTAGTGCTATGAGGCAAACGACAGTCAGTATGGTCGGATATAGGTCCAGGGCGAGACGTACTAATAGATGGCATACTGGAACTCGGGGGGTTGTGTCCATTCACGAATGTCGCGGGGTGTCCGGCCAAACACACTATATTAGATATGAGTTTTGCGTGGTTAAATTAGGTTGCAGCACGTACCGAGTTTTGAAAGATAACCAACAAAGGTTGACAATCTGGGCCAAATCGAAAAGTACGAGGAATCCTCGCAATCTGAAAACAATGATCAAGTAACATGTAAAGCAGAGGGTGCTGGCTTACGGAAAGAATGTAAGCCAATAACTGCTCTGGTTAACTGCAAGTTGATGTTAGTCCCGCTTGTGGCCTCCTTGCAGTCGAACTTACTGTAGGTGCGATTGATGTTGGCAGGAAGGGCTGAATATCCAATAAGACAAAGCATAGAGTTCAGAGGATTTGCATACTATGCAGATTCTTGATAATTTCCATAAAGCTCTTCTTGCCGCCAATTGCGATTACAATCTGTTCCACTGACTCTGTGAAAGAAGTTTAAGATCGTACGTAAGGTAGATAAGCAAGCCGTACGCCATATCACACCCATGAGGGTGAAGATAAAAAGCTGACTGATCACCATGAATGCAAAGTAACGCGCAACGACAGCACGATCGAGTCTGGAATTAGTGAGAGCCCCCATGTACTGGTACGGACTTTAACAATCGACATGGATTCATGAGTCGCGCGTACACACCTGCGAGAGCCTACGCATGACGATCGGCAAGAAAAATCCAAAGATTCCTGATACTGCTGGAGGAAGTATACCAGAGACGATATTGAATGTAACTGAAGATTGCTGGCTCCAAGCGCCGAGGAAGTCGACGTAGGTTGTTAACTAGCGAAAGACAGTCAGCACTAGGCGTTTGAGGCACGAGCCACGAGCCACATACAGATGCCAAATTAGCCAAAATTGAGATAACAAACAAGGGAATGGTGTTAAAGAAACAAACGACAGCAAGCCAGAAGAAACCCATCATCCGCTTGCTCGCGATCTCGGCGTCCGTTTTACTCATATTTTCCCAGATTATGTCCTTGGGATTGGGTGCCAAGGTTATGTCTGTTCCTTTGGGATGTTTGGAGCTGAGAATCTTGCCAACGACGTGGGCGTAAGGAACGGCAGCCATGCTTGCAAAACCGTAATTCTCCGGTTTATGTACATGGAAGTTTTGACGATACTCCTCGATGGCAGCTTCCGTACGCTTCAGTTTCTCACTAAAAGGAGCCGATCAACACTCATATCTCTGAAACCTTGATACCGCACACGCACGTGTAATAATCAATGGCATCCTTCCTGGTGCCTCCACACCCGCAAGTGCCTCCGATCCGCACCGTCGGCCGCTTCTTCCCTATCCTCCCACCTTTGAGGTATGAGACGAGATAAGTCTCCAGTTCGCGAACGGCTTGATTGTGGTATTCGATAAGCTCAGGCAGCTTGCCTACTTTGCGCCCGATGTGGACGCTAGTAGTTGGATAAGGCACCCGAATGGTGTCGAATATCGCTTTGATACCAGGGTCACTCTGGTGTGCCTTGGGAACATGCCTAACTGCGAGGGTTCGAGCGTAGAACGCCCCGAGATACTCCGGAGAGCGAAACCAAGCCCTGCGCAGTCTGAGCATTTGCACCCAGTGCACGTAGACGCAGTACATGATAAGGAAAGTGATGAGGTACGAGACGCCGACATGAACGAACAGAACGTTGCCCGATACGTCCCGGATGGTCATGACGCTGAGAAGGTCCCGGTTTTTTACGTTGTTCTTGATATTGAAAACGACATTGATGGGGATGAGAATGCCGCACGAAAGCGCCGCAACACCGGTGAACAGCCATCGCATGAAGCGACCGAAACGAAGGAAAGTAGCCGCATCAAGGCCGATTTTCTCAACGAGTTCGGGCTCCTTAGTGTGTATGAGTGGGGGGAGCCAGCCGAGAAGGGAGTCGTCTATTCGCGGGGGGCGTTTCGTGTCGCCGACATGATACTTGACTTTTGGCTCGTAGATTATCTGCGCCAACGTTACATGTATTTGGGGAGGGACTGGCGCATGCAAGTACCTTGTTCTTGGGGCGTAATATATTGAAGCTGAGGATGGTACCGACCTAGGGCAGGCCTGTGAGTATAGAGTCAAAAATGGGGAAATGTCTCCGCGCACCGAGACGGCACTCATGAGTAGCATCTGAGAAAAGACTGCCTCGGGCGCCAGCGTCCGGGTGTTCTCTTGGATGAGTTGAGAGGCATCGTCAAGGGCCGACATTCCTTGCAATGGATGTCGTGAAAGACAGTGGTGGAGATTCGGGAAATGTGTTTACCACGATTTGTCTGGGCACGGGGACCACAAGCCTGTCAATTATTGTTCGCGTTTGGGGTGTTTCCCATCTGCAAGAATACTACCTTTACCGCAGACGATCTTGTTCCAGAATACAAACCTCTGCCTCTGCTCCACGCGCAGCGCGTGCACCGTGACGTGCCAAATAAATAGCTTTCACAATAAGTCGAGTTTATGTATTTCGTTGCACGTGGCACAACATGCCAAAGCGAAAACGAGAACAAGAGTGCTTTGAAGTGGGTAAGCATCCGACGAAAAGCAAGATTACTACCACCCTCAATTGGTATCGTTTCTCGAGTTACATGTACCATCTACAACATGACCAATAAAGCAGTCGATTCCAACTTATACACGCTCAACAGTCCGACGCCCCGAAATCCCTCCACGCAAGTGGGGTCTTTGCCAGGTTTTGAAACTCCCGAAATCAGCGTGTGGAGGAAAGCGGAAGGAACGACACATTTTGTCAGACATGTCTTGAGGAGATCGTCGTTGTTGATGTCCGTCAACCGTAAGTGATGTGGTCGATTCCCGGCACGCTCTTGAGCAATAACTATTGCCTCTTCCAAGTCTCGCAGTAGTTCGTTCAGTGTTGCAAAGGCTGAAGGTGGAGAGGGCGTTGCGATAAGTGCTGCAAAGCTGTGCATTGCGCGCGATCTGTGCCGAGTCAATGATTCATTATACTAGGTATTCGGAGTGTATTAACGCATCGTTTTATGGAAGTTGATCAAATACATTGTAGCAGTGAACAAGCTCAAGGCCCCAATAAGACATTTTAGCCTAATTCTGGAATCAGACAACGTAAGAGATAATAGCAGGAAGTACTGACGTTTCTAATTTGTTTTCGATCCTATTTCTGGAATCAGACAACGGAAGAGATAATGGCTGGAAGTACTGACGTTTCTGATTTTTTCCGTTCCTATTTCTGAAATCAGACAACGAAAGAGATAATGGCTCGTTTCTAATTCGTTTCCGATCCTATTTCTGGAATCAGACAACGGAAGAGATAATGGCTGGAAAGTACTGTTTCTGGAATCAGACAGAAGAAGTGAAAATGATATATGAGTACTGACTCCGTAATCCGGTCGGTTTTTACCCGACCTTTTTCTGTCAACCTCTTCTCTTGAGCCTCTATTATGACTTGCTGCCGATCTGACTCGAAGATTTTGGCCGCATTAAGCAGTTGAAGGTACACTCGACTTCAAATAAAGATGTCAGACACACTGAGAGTGGAGAGGCGACTTTTTCTGACTGATTCTTTTTTTGATCCTCGGTGGCGGTCGAATCGTTGTCTAAAGAAGGTAAATCTTTCTCTCGTACTCGCGGGGAGTTCGGCGAGGAGTTCAGCGAGGTTGATCGCGACGCCGGCAAACCTCCTCCCGGCGACAGGGTCGTCCTTGAGTTGCGTGGTACTTTCGGTGTGCTGGGCGGGCTGGACGGATCTGGCGAGGTCGGCGGCGGTATTCTTAGCGGGATAGCGGTGACAACCATTGAGAGCGATTGTGGTTGGGCAGAAGAATGAAAGCCCCAACAGCCCCTGAGGACTCGGAAACAAGACCAAACTGAGATAGTCCATTCCACTGTGGCGAATAGGTTCAGCTGTCCACCAGTTTATCGAGTTGAAGTCAAGTATGCTGAAGACTTGAAGTTACTTCTGAGTTACTTATCATTGCCTGCGCTAAGCGACTAGAATTACGTACTGAGCTAGCTACTCATGCCGCCGCGACCGGGCCGCGAGATCTTTTGTCCACTCATGCGCCTTGGTTCAAGTGCTGCACGCCCATAGAATGCTCTCGTTCTGCTGCGTGTGTCTTACTATGGCCGACATGAAGCCAGGGCGACCCAATCAACGAGAAATCCACCGGACGGTGATGACTAGCAACTCCAAGTTCGCCCTGACTATCAAATCCGCCGGCCTTGCGCTGCGCCGCTGAGTTGTACCTCTCGCACGACACTGCTCGTGGTCATACTGCGCACGCTTCCGTACCAAGAATCCTTCTTCCAAACCAGATCTTTTGATAGCCGGACAAGTTGCGCTCTAGCCACAGGGGAGCAAGCCGTACGCCCGAGAGACCCTCAAGGAGGCGACGTCTCATATCGACAGGATGAGGGCGGATTACAGCGGCACGGAGATCAGGGCGGCGCCAAACGTACCCTCGTCGCAGACTCTTTTCGGCGGCGGGGCTTCAGCAGCGCCGCCGGGGGACGAGATACTGAGCGACGTTGCCCTGTACGCACGATAAAAACTCATCGTCCAGTCATAGAATTCCGGAACCGGGAATCGAACCCCGGGCTGCCGCGCAGCAATGAGACGCGGTAATGTTAGCCCTACACCATTCCGGAGCTGCAGGCCTTCGACGGCTCTCGAAGTTCTCAGCGTTATCGCGCTCCAGTCCGACATACCGCTCTGCGTTCCCTAGACGGACTTCTTTTCAACGAAGTCGGGCGCAAAGGGCACGTTGGACCGCGATCCGTGGGAGGGGATTTACGAGAAGACGCAGCAGTAAGTTGCGGAATATGAGGGCCGCGGAGACGGCGGAAGCGCTTGAGGCCAAGGTCGCATAAATGCTTGCTAGAAATTTGTTGTATGTGATACGTAGCTTTCGTCTGTTTCTGTGTAGGATCACACTGACACCTACTGCAGAGTCTGTGCTTGAATTTCCAAAGGCTGCTCATCGGTGCCTTTGATGGTTATTTTAGAATTACGAGCTATACTTGTCCAGCGACCATGTTCGTACCGAAGATAGAAGCAAATGCAGTTCGCGCAAATGCAAGCACAAACTAAGGGTCTTTACGTAAAATGCGCCCAAAGCCTCGACGCGCCGGATCGATGACAGCGCGAGAAAAGGCTGGCGAAAGGAACATTGCTGCGCCTACTCGAACAGGCAGCAGGGCCTACAAGAAATAAAGACTGTGAAGCAGGCAAGGTATATCACAGAGAAACGGGGTACTTTGGTAGCCGCGTAGGCGACGACGGCATTTGCTACGTCGCCAGCGATGTGGTCTGGAAGAACAGGTAGCTGGCCATCTGCACCGCCCTTCTCGAAGCCAAACACGCCGTAGCGTCTGCCAACACGCGCGGCCCACTGTTTCCCGTCGTCAACCCACGTGGTCCATTTTTGGGCGACCCAGTTGTCTTGCTCTGTGGGCAGACTAGTGACGACACGCTCGCCAACACCCAAAGCGCGGGAAGCGTAGAACAGGCCGACAAGAGGAACTATTGCGGTGATTTCGTGCAGGATACCAAATGAAACGACCAGCGAGGAGAGGGGTGCGCCAGTCCGGATCGCGACCGCGGCGAGTGCATCGCGGTAGCGGTCAAGCGCAGGCATGACGTTTGTCGCGCACGTGATGCCAAATCAAGAAAATCCATGCTCTCCTGCCGCGGCAGACAACGAGCGGCGGTCCCGCTTATCCGTTCATCGTGCCGGTACTCTAGTAGCAACTCTGGGCCAAGCTCCGCTGCCAGGACTTCAAGGCGGGACTCCCCCCGGCTCAATCATGTCTTGGGCCGTCGCGCCATTGTCTTACGCGCGAGAGATGGCATTGCGTCCCCCGTCGATGCTCTTGCCATCATCCGCACCGTCGAGCGCCGCTTCGGTCGTGTGGCTGAGTTTCGCTTCCACCGCGTAGGCGCAAGGTGGCTTTCAAACCGTGTCACTGAGATTATCTGTCTGTGCAGGACGCTGATATGGGCAACCGGTACCAATTCATGGCATACCTCTCATTCTGGGACCTGGCCGCATATGACCGTGTGCCCAAAACTTCCACGCCGCTTTGTGTCAAGGTACCGGCTGGTCCTGACATCATGTCGGGCGGTCCAGGTCTTGCCGACATCACGCCTTTCCTCGAAGCCAGAGACTGGGCCGACAGTGATCTCACGAACGAGGTGGACGGCGACCGCTGCCAGCAGGAGAGTCCTTCGGACGGCTCACGCGTCATTCAGTTCCAGGTGGATCATTATGGTGCGTGTAGCTGGTGTCTCCTGGCACGTCCTGAATCCTGAAGACTTCACTGCACAGACGGCGCCTTCCAGACCAACAAGGTCGACCCCCCTGTATACATGGCACGTTTCCGACGCGCGCTAATTTCCCACTTCGTGCACTGGGGCGGATTTGCCACGAAAAAGCCGCTGCCAATACCCGTCACAATAACTCGAAGCCATCGACTTTTTGGCGACACGGAGGTAGATCACCCCTATATGCGGTATCAGCTCCAGGAGTGGGGCAGGTTGATCAAGCCGTTTGGATTTGAGAAGGCAACGCCGGCTGAAGAAAAGGAAGAGGTGTGTTGGTTTACCTCGTAATTTTACATTCTGTAATCGTTCAGGCTACTAATCCCGCCACCCAGAATAGTATACCAGAGACTTCAGAAAACACCCAGGTTGGTCGCGCAGTCCTTCCACTGTCTTGTTCTCATCTCCCCTCGATAAGCACCATCTGAGCTCAAATTCTGCCAGTATACCAGAGACTTCAGAGAACACCCAGGTCTGTCGCGCAGTCCTTCCACTGTCTTGTTCTCATCTCCCCTCGACAAGCACCATCTGTGCTCAAATTCCGCCACCCAGAATAGTATACCAAAGACTTCAGAGAACACCCAGGTTTGTCGCGCAGTCCTTCCACTGTCTTGTTCTCATCACCCCTCGATAAGCACCATCTGAGCTCAAATTCTGCCACCCAGAGTAGTATACCAGAGACTTCAGAGAACACCCAGGTCCGTCGCACAGTCCTTCCACTGTCTTGTTCTCATCTCCCATCGATAAGCACAATCTGAGCTCGGACACCTTAGACGCTTTACCTTGGCTGACGAATGCTCCCCTCGCAACGCATGCAGTTGAGACAACTGGAACGGCTGTCCCGCCAAGTGTTAATACCTACACACATTCAACACCATCTAATACAACGGTCTCCTCCTCTCTTACCACAACTCCTCTCCAACTACAGCCCGCCGCACAGCCAGCAGCAACAAACTCGTTGTCCATAGAGGCGGAAGCTACTGCTCGGCCAGGGAAGCACGCACCACTTGACACGCCGCGAAAGCCTCCTGCTGTCACAGAGCAAGTTCGCGCCGCACGGAGGCTAATGCGCCAGGTCCAGCCCTCGGTGGGCAGCAGCAAGCCGAATGCAAAAGCTACAGCGCTCCAGCAAAAACAGTTTACACAGCCCGCCACATCGACGAAGAAGACACCAAAGGTGACGAGAAAATCCGCGGGTTCAACTTCTACGACGCAAGCACTGGAGCGGCCGATTGAAGTGGAGGAGCGCACGGCAGGCGTGGCGGCGAGGCTAAAGGGAATGTTAGGAGGGTGGCTGTAACACCTTGTACTCGACTCGTGAGATCAGTTCAGGACTGTTGCATGTTCTTGAGACAGTCGGGCTGAGTCGGCCTCCGCGTGGGAGCAAGCTTTGGGCAACAAAAACGCGATCACGTGGTACTCGAAATATGTCAGTTCTTACTTTAAAAACTGAACCATGTCCTCCGCTCCACCCCGTAATGTACCAGCCGTACCAGTGCGTCACCGCGCGCGTACTGTAAAACCTCCGGGTGAACACCAGACCTCGAACAAATTGATCAGTTTACAGCTCTGAATCACCCTCACGATGCACGCTTTTGAAAACCATTGGACATGTACTATGAAATATGGATCCTCCTTCTAACCACGCAGCGAAATCGATACGCACAGGAAAGAGGCCATTGAATGCAGGAACCGATGCTACTTGCTACAGTATAAGTGATATTGATACGCATGCAAAGGACCGAGAAACGAGATACAAAAAGCATGCAATACGGGAGAAGTGTGGAGAGTGAATTATAGACGTGAGTGACACGTATTACAATAGGAAGAGAGTGCCTAGCTGCCAGGCCAGGACTTGGAATAGAACGAGTATACCGAGGAAGGAAGGCGTGTTACATATGGACGCGATTAATTCGATGTTAGCGCGAGTCTGAGTCAGATATCCAGAATGAACTTAGCTAGCGAACGAGAGCGGAGAGCCGGAAAGAACGTACCTTGTGGAATGGTGTACTTACTGATGATAATGACTTTCCTGCGTTTGCGGCGTTGCTTGGATGTTGCAATGAGGATTGTTTGCAGTCGGTGCTAAGGTAATGCGACCCTACCGCGCCGGGTGCAGAGGCCACGTGCATGGAACTGACGAGAGAGAGCGAGAGTTAGAGGCAGAGATACAGCCGGCACCCGCGCGGGCGCACGAAGACACTGGGTTCGATGTTGTCGGGCTCGGAGACTGAGTCACCGGCCCATGCCGCCTCTGGGGACGCGCCTGCCGCGGGCGTGAAAGACGACGTATCGTGATCCGATAGACGCGTCAAAGAGTCGCGCGTGCGACGCATGAGGTGGTCAATGTTGGGCAGCAGCGCGAGAGGATCGAGACGGCGCGCGCGTGTGACCGCCGGAGTACGTGTGTTGAGCGCAGGAACGGGCGCGGCGCGGACGGCGAAGAGAGAAAGCGCAAGTGCAAGCGCGGTTGGTGCGGCTTCGGAGGAAAATCGGGTTGTTAGTCGAGCCGAAGCTGCGGGAGTCAGCGGGACGTACTGAAGCGCATCTCGTGGCAATGTGCGCGACCGCAAGCGCTAGGTCGTCAACGGATCGGTGGGTTCAGCACGGTGAAGGGGCGATGGACGCGAAAGGTTATTATAGGTAGGCGCCTGCGCGCTGCCATGGCCAGTGACCTTTGACGCAGACAAATGGCGTTTGTGTTTCGGGAGAAAGGGCATGGGTGGCAAAGGCGCGCGGCTTGCTCCTTTGGAAACAAACAAAACTGACAGGGTCAAGCGTCGTGACAAAGGCAGTTCACTGGCAGCTGTCCTGCTACTATCGCTGTTCATAGACTCCGTCTCTCGTCTCAGTGTCCTATTACCATCGACTCCGTCTCTCCACGCCTCTCCTGCTGCTCTCCTCTTGTATTTCGCGTACTCATGTGGTCCATTTCTGGGGTCTGCGGCTCTGTCTGGTCTTGGACGAACTCTGTTGATGAACTCTCCTACCCTCCTCCTCATCCTCCTGAGCTCTCCTCCGTACTTGTGTCTTCTTACATCCTTGACGTCAAAAGCGCGTCACCCGCTCCCGGCTGGGTTCTGGGTTCGGTCCACGTGGGACCTAGTGCCGTTTTCATAAAACATAATCGTCCCAGCCAATTAAAACGCGTCCTCTTGTTGTCCACGCTCAAGCCACGCTCATTTACCCAATGCTGTCGTCTGCCCTTGCCCTCGCCGTCAGTGAAAAATCTGCTTTTCCCTCGCTCTGCTGAGCCTTCCACAGATCCTCGCGGTCGCTGCCCAAGTCGCGTCCCAGTCCTCGACGTCTCTCGCTCCTGCCCAAATAA